ACCGTGCCCTCACTTGATGTATTCGGGTCACTATCGGGGAGCTTTTGTTCACCAGCAGCTGGAAGAAAGAATGGAGCCTTCTGGGGGGCTTTCGGTGGATCTTTAGGTTTGTTGCGTTCCTGGCAGAGGTCAGAAGCTAATCATTAGGCCAAGGCGAGGCACATTATCTATCTGATAAACATGCAGCTGTAACAGCAAAAAGCGGGAAAGGGCTCACCTTGATTAAGTTCAACTGAAGCAACGTTTGCCACTTGCTCTTAGGAACAACACTAAGAGTGACCATATCCCCGTTGAGCTGTTCGATGGATGGTAACGGGCCGTCCACTTCCGCTTCATCAGAGCCATCTGAAAATGCTGCTTCGATAACTCCAGGATAGCCGTCGTTGGAAGAAGTGGGGATGTGAACATTTGTCATGGCATGCTCATCCACATTCCGCGTTGAGATAGGTACAAACAAACTTTTGTTGGACCAAAGGCTGATCCCTACCCCGTCAGCATGTGCAGTAGCCAAGAACTCGCCCGTTGAGGACATCGCCAAAGAGGTGCATGTGCTTGAGGCGCGGAATACATCAATGAGATGGCCAGTTGGTAAATCCCAAACGCGGATTGTAGAGTCCATGGAAGCTGCAATGATCCAGCGTCCATCGGTTGAGAAAGTGAGATCATTGATTTGGCCCACGCATCCCCAAAATTCACGAATGACTTTCTTGGTTTCAACATCAACAACGCGAATTGAGAGGTCGTCACAGCTAAATGCAACAAGCTCGTTTGTGTGGTTGCTTCGAAGTCCAATGATAGAAGTCATAGGATACCAATCAAGCTGATCAACCAGGTGACCCGACACTAGGTCCCAAAACTGATTTGGAATGAAAACCTCAGTACAATTTAAATCAGGCACAGAGGGGAGTTGGTCTTACCTTGACTTTACCGTCGAGTCCACAACTAATAACAGTTCGATTCAGTCCATCAATCATCAAGCCAGTGACTGCTTTGGTGTGTTTGATATCATGGCTCTCAGAGATGAGCGACGGAGTAGGCCGTTGTTTAAGATCACCCTTGGGAGACTTGGCTGGGAAGCTCTGTCTGTATAGACCAGATTGCATGTTGAACATGTCAATGGTACCTCCCGCAGACCCAATTATTGCGAAGGTTCCGCAACGTGAAAGAGCCACACTCTATCACAAAGACATCAGAAAGAAAGTTCTCGATATACCGAGGTATTTGCTTACCTTGACTTCAGTTCCATCGCTGGTTTCGAACGCCCAACGCCCGGCTTTCTTTTTGCCCCAGAACCATGTTCGAGCATATTTATCTCCACGATGGCCAGTAACTATACTTTCCCAGCCCGTCTTGCTCGAATCTTCTGCTCTTGTTGTTTTAGGATTCGCCCAGATGGGGCCGGACGTCGTGGTGCCCATCCCGCCATCGCGGTTCAGGGAGCAGGCGATACAGGTGATTTCCGGTGCCCGGAAGTCGGTTTCCAAATTAGCATGCGTGACACCAGTATAGGTGCTGGGTGCACCCCTTCTTTTGGATTTGTGTTCAACGGCTCCCTGAGAAATCTCGGTGTTCTGGCTATCCTTCCGTACACTGAAACCCCAGAGGCTGCAATCCTTACTAGCGCTCAGCAACCACTTTCCACTGAATTCAGAGCCATCAGACCCTGAAGGCAAGAACTCTAGGGCAGTAATTGCAGCCGAATGCCCACTCCTTATGTGAAGAGGCCTGGGAATATGCGAGAATGGAATTTCATCGAAAACCCATGTCTTGAGAGAATTATCTTTCCCAGATGAGACCAGGACAGGCTGGCCGTCCAGGAACTGTAAATGGCTTATTCCCGAACCCGACTCACCAGCGAGTGCATGTGCCCGGCGGAGGACGCCCATCGCCCTTCCACCGTTGTTCAGGTCCCATATAGTGACATCACCACTTTCAACAGAACCAGTCACCATCATGCCAGCAGTTCGTCCATGTTCGCCCGCACCTAGGCCATCTTGCCGAAAAGCGAGCGATGTGACGCAGTCCATTTGTGGAGAGCCTGCACGCAAGGTCATAGCCAGTTGGCATGTCTCAACATTACAGATAGATAGTGCCCCACTCTTGTATGCAATGGCAATCAGGGATAACGCGGGTGTTGGTTGAAGAGCAGTCACTGCACCTGCATGTGCTGACATTGGGGGCATTGAATATACTAGCCTCCCGGTCTTTACATTCCAGATGTCAACCTTTCCGTCACATCTGCCAACGAATACTTTGTTGAGGTATGTCGGCATGTTGCAGATTTGACCGGCATATACCGGTCCATCTGAAAGGTTACTGACACGTTGAGGTCTGAGAGTCGTGTAGTGTTGATACGAGGCATTTTTCCACACTTGAATGCACCTGCTGCTGCAGCCAACAATCCATGTGCCGAATACAAGCAGCCGTTCAATGGGCTCCGAAAACCCAGCAGGCACTTCTAAAGACGCAATCTTTTTACCTCTCTTGAACACCCATATACCCCCTTCCGAGCCGGGGCGAAGATTTCCCCATGCTGCAAAGATCCTGTCTTGCCAAGCACAAGTGGCAGTGATGATATCTGGCGTCTGAGGACGACTAATAAATACCAAGTTGAGGCCTCGCTTCAGATCGTAGGTCTGCAAGCAGCGCCCTACAGATGTGGTAATTTGGAATGTCGCTTTGCCTAGGCGGACAGAGGTGAAGGGAACTTCGGTTGATACCAGTCCTAAAGTCTGCATTAGAATTAGTATATTTCATTATATAACATCTGGGCAGCTAGCCAGCCTCCAGGTAAAACGTTCGTCAAAGTAAGGTTTTTTTTGCTTACCCGGAAGGGCGAAAAGATTTTAGATCCAGACGTTCGCGGGGATTTCTCAGTTTCCTCTGCGACTGTTCTCTTTTGCCGTTTTGCCAGAGGCAAATCAAAGCCATCATCTTTCAAAGACGGCATATTCGTTTATTTCAACTGTAATTGAGTGAACGAGGCACCAGAAAGCTGATGGTATCTAGAGTAAATATTTCTGGAGGCATATCTGCGACGGAATTATTGTATCTCCGGCTTACAGGAACCCTTCCTATTGGTCCAAATTACAGTGTGCGAAGTACGACAGTACCTACTACTTAGTACTTACTATACTAGTACTCGATAGGTACTGCGTCCAATGTAACTACTACTGGATGACAATATTATGGACTACTCTTGCGGAAACAATTTTTAGAATTTTAAGGAGATTCAATCATATTATCCTACATTGAGTGCTACTCTGGTTCAGGTGTCTTTTGAAAGTAAACTACACTAACCAGTCACAGTCACATGATCTATACCACTTGGTTCTTCCGTAATGATAATTACCACAGAAATGTAATAAAGTAAAGCTCTTTATTTGAGGGTATACACTATTTTCATACATGAACGTCTTTAGGTACGTAGGCTTTTCCAAGTCATATGACCAACTTGGGTTTGACAGTCGCATATGACTTGTTGTATTTCTTACGATTCCATAGCATGCACATATACCCTGCTGATTGGTATGGTACTGCGGAGGCAATGGCTCAGCAATTGAAACATTCATTTTGATTACTATGGTAGCATTAAGCATAGCTTTGCTTAACCGCCTGATTTTGAATCATCTACTAATATCATCTCTTGCAAAGCTAGAAAGGAAGGCCTAAATATTCTCGATTTTCGAAACACGCAATTAGTTCTAGAGCGTTTCGATGAACCAATGATGTATGTGGAACGCCACTGTAAAACAGATGACTTTGTAAGTATGCTAGTCCTCTGTAGGTTGGCCACGCTGATCGGTAGACTAAAGAATATTCTACGACGTACTGCAATCTCTAGGGCGTCTACACTTTAAAAAGTACCAAAGTATTCATTGTCTGCCCCTTTCAGAGACAAGGAGAATATACTCCATCTACCCCTCTTGACCCACAAACCCACAAATCGACCAAAATGTGGTTAAGCTGCAGAACGCGATTTGGCAGTTCAATAAAGGTAGGTACTTAGTTGATGCTACTACTACTATAAGTAGTAACTATTGCTTCGTGAGGGAATCAATGGTATGGTAGTAGTACTTATTCGATATGGTTGTATTGTGAGCACCTCCAAACAGATTCATTATATTCTTGCGCTTACTTTGGTAGAAAGGCAAGGCAACAGACAAACCGAATTCGCCATTGCCTATAGGCCTGTGTACTGTGTGTATGCTGGGAACGAGTTCAACCAGGGGTGACAATAATAAATTGTTGGTGATCCGAGTTGTGGAACTAAATTGTTAGACTCCGCACTGCATGCATTAGCTTAATACCCAAGTCGCACTGTATGTAAGTATAGTTATACACTGTATGGAGTACCAAGCAGAACAATATATCTGCGAAATGTCCTCTGTAGACCTTCAAGAACTAGATTATCTTTCAGTTAACAATTCTGATTACAATTCTATAGTACTGAACGCAGCCCGCAATCCTCAATGACCTTAGTAGTATTGAACAGAAAGCCAACCTGCGATTTGCCTTAAGCTGGACCCGGCACAACGGGAAGGTCAATACGTACGTACCCACAATGCACAATCGCTCCTGCTGGATAACCACAGGGTTTAATTGCGCCACTTTCACAGCGGTCGCCAACGGGCCAGATTCAATTGAAAGAAAGCGAGGATAGAAACAATTTCAATCTATTTCTCTTTTCTTTTCTTTTCTTTTCTCTTTTCTCACTTATTATATTTTATATCATTTTCCCCTTTCGAGGCAAAGGACCAACAAACAAACTGTACACCAAGACATATTTTCTGAGACGAAAATACGTCATTCACTGACTTTTCGTTATCTGTTGACTCCATGTTCGGCAAGCTCCTACCCAGAACCTGATCAGTGCCAACCTGTGACCAAGCTCATTTTGTCCGACATCTTCGTGCCAAATTTCTAAGCCTCCATGTTTAATGGATATCAGCGAGCCCATTGTCCCTCTTTCTAGTGACGTTGGCACCACAGTCCCCAGTATGGAAGCGAAGCCAGACTCCCGAGCATCGTCGCCGAGTGTAGGCTCCGATCGCATAGACAAAGGCTCCTTCAGCCTCCTCTCTGAACCAACTGCCCCGAATTCTTCGAAGGGAAACATCAATGGCGTGCAGGTCCAAGGATCCCAGCCGTACCAATTCGAAAGTTCTTCAAGTAACTGGAACGTTGGACAAGGCCCTAACCCTTCAGTCCGCTCATCTAGTCGAGCGCCCAGAAGGCTCAGTGGGAGCACGGCTGCAAGCTCCATCAGTGAAGCTGAAGTCTCCGGAACACCGCACCTTGGAAGAATTGGTGTCTGTGCATTGGACGTGAAAGCTCGCAGCAAGCCTAGCCAAAACATATTGACGCGTCTTCAGTCCAAAGGTGGATTCGAAGTAATTGTCTTTGGTGACAAGGTGATCCTCGACGAAGCTGTAGAGAATTGGCCTATCTGCGAATACCTGATAGCATTCTTTTCTGATGGGTTTCCGCTGGACAAAGCTATCGCATATGCAAGACTTCGAAAGCCATTTTGTGTCAATGATCTTCCCATGCAGAAGGTATTATGGGACCGGCGTCTCTGCTTGAAGATACTAGATCAGATGAGCGTCCCGACACCCAAGAGACTGGAGGTTAACCGAGACGGAGGGCCTACCCTGGAATCCCCAGAACTCGCCGAGCATGTATATAATCTGACAGGAATGAAACTCGAGGGTCCCAGTGACGGCACTGGTGGAGGAGCCTCGAGAACAATGAACGTGAGGATATCTGACGATGGCGATTCTCTTATTGTTGACGGCAAGGTTTTCAGAAAACCTTTCGTTGAGAAGCCAGTAAACGGGGAAGACCACAATATTCATATATACTTCCCCAATGACCAGCAATATAGTGGCGGTGGTAGAAGGCTATTTCGAAAGGTCGGGAACAAAAGCTCCGAATACGACCCCGACCTTACCGTCCCCAGATCAGTCACAGAAACGGATACAAGCTACATCTATGAACAGTTCCTGAGGGTCGATAATTCAGAGGACGTCAAAGCCTATACAGTCGGTCCAGATTTCTGCCATGCAGAGACGCGGAAGTCTCCTGTGGTTGACGGACTCGTTCGCCGCAATACCCATGGAAAGGAGCTCAGGTATATAACAAAACTGAGCAAGGATGAAGCAGCCATTGCTTCTAAAATATCAAATGGATTTGGCCAGAGGATATGCGGGTTCGACATGCTTCGCGTGGGGGAGAAAAGTTATGTGATTGACGTTAACGGCTGGAGCTTTGTCAAAGACAACAATGACTATTACGACAGATGCGCTGCTATTCTGAGAGACACTTTCCTGAATGAAAGGCGCAAACTCGAAGGAATCATTGAGCCCGTCGATGCTATTCCTGCTGATTCTGGACATTCTTGGAGACATTCCATGTCTCACAGACACACCCTGAAGACCCTTTTGAAATCCCCAAGTGCATCGAAGCTTCATGGGAGCCAAGCGGGCTTAAGAAGTTCTGACACAGGCTCGTCTGATTCCATTGTTTCGCGACCAATAACTTCATCATCCGCGGAGAAGGTCGACAATGGAAACGGCCATGTAAACCCTAGTGGGCTCGATAAACTCGCGCACCCCAAGATCTATACTTCGCAGAACTCTAAGTCGTCAATATTACCAGTGGATCTACCTACCGAGGGCCTGCCGCCGCCGCCGCCGCCGCCAGCTTCGAAACACTCATGGAAGCTCAAGGGAATGGTAGCAGTCATTAGACACGCAGATCGCACACCCAAGCAGAAGTTTAAATTTACGTTTCACAGCCAGCCTTTCATTGACTTGCTCAAAGGCCATCAAGAAGAGGTAGTGATAAAGGGTGAGGCTGCATTGGCAAGCGTTTCGGATGCGGTCAAGGTTGCCATGGACCGGAATCTTGAAGATATGGACAAGTTAAAGCTGCTCCGAACGTCACTTGAGAAGAAAGGTGGCTGGCCAGGGACTAAGGTCCAAATCAAACCAATGTTTCGCAAGCGGAAGCCAGAAGAGCTACGCGGGCAGACTTCGTCGGTCCTCCCGACATCCCCTTCTGAGCCACCGCAGCATGAATTACTTGTATCTACGCAAGACCAGCATTCCGCAGAAAATGATCAACTCAGTCGACCTCAAACGCGGAGTGACTCGATATCCGGTGCAACCTTTTCGAGATTCTCTGCCGCAGAAAACGACCTGATCCTAGACAAACTCCAACTCGTGATCAAGTGGGGTGGGGAACCAACACATGCAGCACGCTATCAATCGCAGGATTTAGGGCTTAACATGCGTGATGATCTGAAGCTCATGAACAAGGAAGCATTGAATAATGTCCGCATATATACAAGCTCTGAACGGAGAGTGAGCACGAGTGGTAAGTCCAAGACAATGTGATTTCTGGTCTCATTCTAATGAGTAATATAGCCCAAATATGGGCTTGCTCCTTTCTCGATCAGAAGGAGCTTCCCGAAAATTTCATACAAGTCCGAAAAGATCTTCTGGACGACTCGAATGCTGCGAAGGATCTCATGGATAAGGTGAAAAAGAAGCTAAAGCTCCTTTTAAGGGAAGGATCCGCGCCCTCGCAGTTTACGTGGCCAAAGGACAATATCCCGGAACCATCAGTCGTGCTAGCTACTGTCGTTGAACTGATGAAGTTTCATCGGGATGTTATGAGACACAATTTCCGCAGATTTGACGAGTCATCGTCTCAGCCTTCTGGGACAGATGAAATAGATGACGGCTGCCCATCCTTCCAGCCTAACACAGGATGCGAAAAGCCTTCTTTGTCTTCCATTCAAGGAAGATGGTGTACAGGTGAAGATCCCATGCTTTTCAAAGAACGATGGGAGAAGCTTTTTGCCGAATTTTGCGATACGGAGAAGGTTGATCCCAGTAAACTTTCTGAGCTCTACGACAGCATGAAGTTCGATGCCCTTCATAACCGACAATTCTTAGAATGGGTCTTTATGCCACCCGATAGCGACGATAGTGAAGACGAAAAGCACCATTATGGCTCGAAGAATACCAGACGAGATGATTCTGTCAGTCCTAACAATGAGAGTGACGATGATAAAAATGAAGAACAAACAGAAGGCTCCATTTTTGCCCATCGGTTCGGATGGAAGAAGCGCATGCATGCATTCGAACTAATGCCACACTTCAGAGCACTTGATGACAGTTACGACCACTATTTCAAGTTGTATCCAGGCTCCAGCTCAACGAAGGCTAAGATTGATGGGAGACTTTCGAAACTGAGGGAGCTATATAAACTGGCCAAGGTACTTTTTGATTATGTGACACCGCAGGAATATGGGATAACGGACACGGAGAAATTGGAGATTGGCCTTTTGACATCCTTGCCACTCCTTCAAGGAATAGTGAGGGATTTGGAAGAGGTCCAGGCTTCGCCTGACGCAAAGTCTTTCTTCTACTTCACGAAGGAGTCACACATTTATACTCTCCTAAACTGCATCTTAGAAGGGGGGATACAGACCAAGATAGCCAGGACTGCCATTCCCGAGCTGGACTACTTATCTCAGATCTGCTTCGAGCTCTATGAGGCCAAGGACTGTGAATCTTCAACAAATTCCTACTCGATTCGGATATCAATAAGCCCTGGTTGTCATGCTTTTGATCCACTGGACGTGCAACTCGATTCCCGGCATGCCATTGGATGTGCACCAAGGAGGAGCTTGACTGCCCATCAGGACTGGAAAGAGGTTATCGAGACCTTGAAGGCGAGATTCGACACGTAAGTTACGCCCTCAAGCGCTATACATGAAATTGATACTTTCATACTGATCAGTCACTATCATCTTCCAGAGTAAAGCTTCCCAAGACATTCATCGCAGTGAACCTTAGTGATAAGCACGGATCACACTCTTGACGAGAATTCCATATATAATGGTCTCATACACGGGTTTGAGTTCCTGCCATACAGAATTTGTGGCTGTATGGTCTCTCCTTTCCCGTGTGCATGCTCTTGAGCAGGTCTTCTGGTATTAGGCTCATCTATACAGGATGTTGCGGTGCGACACATATTTCCGAGCAATCCCTTCCATGTAGAACAATCTATAGCTTACCAGCGAAAATGGCGAAACAATCATGGGGTCTTAGTTGGTCGAGTTACTTGGTGCCCGGATTGATGACATGATAGTGTTAGTGTGCCCCGCTCTTAGAGCTACTTGGGTCTAGATAGATAGTCCCGCTTAGGAAGCTGACATCCATGGACATTCCTATATATTCCGGCGTGGTCCTGACCTTCTTAGGCCGTTAGTCTACTGCTTATTGCTTCTATTCTGCTTCTTTTCACGCGTCCTTAAGCCCATTCCAATTTTTTCCGGATAGGTGACCTTTAAAACGTTCGCCCCACATGGCATCTTCTGTTGTATATACTGTCGACGTTGAGTGCTCTAATGACTGTGGTGCACACAAAGATAATATCCGGTGCATATCCCAACACGATCAAAATGAATTAATAATCGCCTGTGATAGCATTATCTCCATAGTGCCCCAAAAAAAGGACGGGGATATATTGTATCGCCTGCTATTCTTCCGGGATGGCGACGACACATGCGACCATGAGAGCAAACACACGTTACTCGAAAGCATTCAGCTAGCTACTTTACCTCCACAATTGCAAAAGCACCTGTTTACGGAGTTGCCGCCTTATCTACGTTCCTCTGGTCCTGAAGGGGCTAAGATAGATATCATTGTTTCTACCACATCTGGAACAGAAACAGGTGCGAGCTTCTGTAGCAACATCCTACAGCCGTTGCTGTCATACATCGGAGTAGCAGATTATGAGCTCCATGAGACGAAGTCGGCTCAAACTATCACAGAATTATGCTACGAAAAGTTCATTCCGCGTGCCAAGCAAAGACTTCCGCAGACAATTATTCTCCTCTCAGGTGATGGAGGCCTAACCGACATAATTGATGCGTTCCACAGTACCCTGGAGAGTCTTCTCGTGCCTCCAACCATTGCTCTCATCCCCACTGGAACAGGAAATGCTATGGCGAATTCAATAGGATTGTTGACGTACCCAACGGCTGGTTTGGTAGCATTATTACAAGGGACACCAACTAGTGTACCTACATTTGTCGCCGAACTTTCACCGGGAGCGAGATATATTATTGACGAAGGCCGTGAAAGAGTCCCCATTACACGCAATTCGGCGAGCTTTCAAGGGAACCCCAAGGTTTACGGTGGCGTTGTTGCGAGTTGGGGTCTTCATGCGGCATTGGTTGCCGATAGCGATACTGTTCAGTATCGCAAGTTTGGAGCCGATAGGTTCAAGCTAGCCGCAAAAGAATTACTCTACCCTTCTGACAGTGCCGAACCCCACAAGTTTAGCGGCAAGGTTACACTTTTCAAGTTGGACGACCAAGATAGGAAGTCGCACGAAGAACTGCTGGCGTGCACCGAGCATATGTATGTGTTGGCTAGTCTTGTCTCGAGTCTCGAGAAAAATTTCATGATTTCTCCTTGCTCAAGGCCTTTGGACGGTCGGCTGTGGATGGTTCATTTTGAGCCAATGTCGTCATCAAAGGTTATGCAAGTTATGGCTTCTGCATACCAGGCAGGGCAGCACGTGGAGGATGAAAGTGTCTCTTATGGTGAGATTGAAGGATTTCGGATTGAATTTCGTGAAGCAGACGAGAGATGGAGGCGGATCTGCATCGATGGAAAGATTATAGCGGTTGAAGATGGTGGCTGGGTGGAAATCCATAAAACTTCCAGGGCCTTACTTATGATATTGCAGCACCAGAAGGCCTCGCCCGGATTTAATGACGATTGAGATAGTTACCATGAAAGGATAAATTAGTTGCAGAGGTCATGCCTGGGGTGGCCACTGCCATAGCCCCTGGCTCAGTTACATTGTACGTTTGAAGTAGTTAAGCTTTGAAGGTCTGGCCACCCGACCCCGTTAGTTAACGTTAACTAGTTAGTTATCACTGCACTGAGTGACTAATGGTTATTGCTTGTAACTTATGTATTCCACAATCGCGCGGCCCATCTTGTAAAGCTATATAAATTTTATCTTCTATAATAATTATAATATCTTAATAACTACACTTTATATAAGTCTACAATGTTAAACAAAGATTAATAATAATAAAATCAACATATTTAAAGCATTCTGTGATAGAATAGCCTAGCTATCGTGGTAACGGCCCTCGGGATGATGTACTATGGTGATTATGGAAGTTATGAGATTATTAATAGTGGTTCTATATTTTCTTGACACCTAAAAGATGCCAATTCCTCTGCAGAAGGCTACTGATCCTTAAGAATCAGTCTATCTTATAGATATAAACTATCTTTATCATTACTAGACAATTCTATTATATTTAATAATTAATTTCTTATTTAGTTAACAGGCTTTCTATCCTGACAAGTAAATTTTATTATATTCTGATTCTTCTTTTTTAATTATCTAAGGAAGATGCCATTCCTTGAAGATAGTAAAGAAAGAAAGATATCTAGTAATTATATTAATTTAGAATTATTATTAAATACTATTTCTACTACTGAGAAAATCTAATAATTAAAAAATCATGTCTATTGATTAGAACAAGCTATTAATCTGTAAAGAAGAATAACTTATTTTTAGAAGAATAATTTTCTAGATAAAATCTTCTTTAGATATTATTAATTCTCTTCCGAATCAGAAAAAGATAAGGGAGAGATTAAGTTTAAAGATATTTTTTATTTTATCTTAAACTTTAATTTTTAAAAATATTAAGAATAGATTACTGATCTGGAATATATATTTCAAGAAGTTTCTAAGAAGTATTTCTCTGAGAAATATAAGATATTTATTATTATTAATTATATAGATCCTGCGTGTAAATAAAGATAGTATTATTTTATTAATAATAAAAATCTGGAAGTAAGATAATTTCTTAAGAAATTATAATTCTAGTTTAAGAATTAAATTCTTACTCTAATCTAGAATACTGTTATCTTTTAATTAAATATTATAATTTAATTTAAACAGGCTTGCCAGTAATATAGTCAAGATCTAAGAAAATTTTATACTTATTTTAATATCTTAAAATAATATTTTTCTTATCAGGTAGAGAAAAAAAGAGTTTTATTATACTTTATTAAATTATTATTTAATTTTAATTATTATATTCAAGAGCATGTTTCCTATTTACTAGAAAAATAGGATAAAATAATAGCTATTACTATTTATTATTATAAATTATAGAATAATAAACAGAAATATAAGTGAAAAGATAATTAATTTAATATTTATAAATTATATAAATGTCTCTAAGATTATTTTAATAAACTAATTAAAGAAGATATATTAAACCGCAAGGAAAATCCTATTAGAAAAAATAGTAATTAATTATGATACTTTATATATAATAATATCCAGTATTTTATAAATTAATATCTTATTAAAAGTAAGAAGATTTAATCTGCTAAAACCTATTAATATTTATTAGATTCTGAGAGAAAAGTGGAGGAGTTAAAATAAATCCTATAATTTTAATTTCTTTATTTATAGTAGAAACTACCTATTATTTTTATATCTCTATTTATATTTAAAACAGTCTTGAAATATTTACAGACTTAGATAATTATATTAAAATAGATATTATTAACTATTAATTTACTAAGATATATTATCTTTAATATATTCTAGTCACTGTATCTAGAATTAAAGCTATTAATTAAATTACTATTTTTATTTATAATATATAAAAAGTCTTTTTTATTACTACTAATTTACAGGGAAGTACCCGTACTTTTAAATAGTATTATATAAGAATTAACTAAGATCCTTATTTAAAGAGTAGTCTAATTCTGTTATTAATAACTATACTTCAAGATTTCTATATTAATTTATCAGTATAAAATTAATAATAATAGTTCAGTATACTATCTATTTCTTTTCTTTTTACTATCTAATTTAATAAAATAATCTAGAACTCAGTAAGAATATATATTATTATTAAGTTTTCTGAAAATATTTAACTACCAGAGGAAAGACTTTTTAATTTATTTTTAAATTTAGAGATAATTCTAATCAAACTCTAGAAATTCTGAGATATATTCTTTATAAATTTCTTTTAATAATTTTTTTCTTATAGTTCTGCGGACCATATTATCAATATTAAATTTAATAAAATATCTTTTTATAATTCTATATATTCTTTATCAGAAACTGAACTTAAGATTCTATAAAAATATATTAAAGAAAATTTAAAATTAAATTAAATTTAATTTTTAAAGAGTCCTGCAGGGGCCTCTATTCTTTTTATATTTAAAAAAAATAATAATTTATATCTTTATATAGACTACAGAGATCTTAATAAAGTTTCTATTAAGAATTATTACTCTTTATCTCTTATTTCAGAGATTCTTAATAGAGTCTCGGGCAGTAAATATTTTTTAAAAATTAATATTAAAGATACTTACTACTGAATCTGTATTAAGAAAAATAATAAATAAAAGATAATATTTTATATTTAATATAATTATTTTAAATATACTGTCATGCTATTCAGATTAATTAATATTTTTATAATATTCTAAAATTATATATATATAATACTTCGTGGATTTCTTAATAACTTTTATATAATATATTTAGATAATATCCTTATTTTTTCACTAGATAAAGAATTCTATATAAAGTATATTTATCAAGTATTAGAAAGATTTTAAGAAACTTAATTCTATATAAAATTATCTAAGTATTTGTTTTATTAATCCCAAGTTAAATTCTTAGAATATATTATTAATACTAATAAAGTATCCATGGATCCTTAATAAGTAAATAATATTATTTTATAATTAATTTCTGAAAGTTATTATAATATCCAGATCTTTCTAGAATTCTGCAACTTTTACTGTTAATTTATT